TGCGGTGTTTGGCCAATCACAATGCACTGGGTCAGCTGGCCAATCAGAGCAGACTGCGCTTGTCAATATATGTGTTTAAAAAAAATAATGTGTTTTTTGAACATTAAAGCATGTCAACATATTCTGTTACACCAAATACACAAAATAATGATCTTTAAAATAGCATCATATGACCCCTTTAAAAATCTATTGCATTCTTTGATATACATGGAAAAAATGTTAGAAGTTGATAAATGTTCATATAACCCTCTTCTTTGGAAAAAGTATTTGCCTTTCAGATACACTCTTTGCCTGAACACAAACTTCGCTGCTGTTCCTGCCGCTGCTACTAAAAACATTTCTCTATTCATGGTGAACAGCTGCGGAGTGGATTTAGTCCCAGGGAACATTTCCAAAATATACAAACATACAGGGTCCGGATTAAGAGACTGATATTCATACAACTAATACTCTCCCGTTCCAGCAAAGTCATTTTAGCCCACGCTAGTCTTCTGACCTTTGCAACTGTTTTGGTAAGTAGTATTACACATACTGTATGACATAAATAATGGTGTGCTCATTATTTCAACCGATTATTGAATTAGTGACATTTAATCATTTTAAATCAAGTCAAATATTTACATTTATACAGACATGAAGTAGTGTTAAAAATCATTAACAAGGCAAAGTAGATTTTTCATTTAAAAACATGAAAGTACAATCACAACAACAGCAGAAACTACCACTATTACTAATAGTAATAACAATAAAAAAATGAATACGGTGCAAATATCCAGGTCAATCGTCAAAACGGAAAACCCTGTTGTTTTAAATTAAACAAGGCCCTGTTGTGATCAAGTGGACATTTACAGAATTTGACTGTTGTGCCACTGTCTTGGAACATTTAATGCAAACTCACCAAACACCTGCATTGACCAGAATTTTTCTGAAGGTTGGTGTGATTCTGAGAAAAGCACACAGTATCTGTATTTACAGATGTTTTTGCAGATGATGCTCTGGAGATGGGTTTCCTGTTCAGACTTACAGCCTGGTTACCGAAGATACTTTGGAACCTCCACCTGCGAAGAATTAAAAGGTCAAATCTATTGTTCTTTTATGAATTTTTTCATATTATTTATTCTATTATAAATTTGATTATCATGACCTTATTTATTACATATTAATAATACATTATTTGTGATCAAAAATACAATCAAGACAAGCATTCTGTTTTTTTTTTGTTTACCTATATTAACGTCCTGTTTACTCAAACTGTTTTCCATTTTCCACAGCACTAGAAGGCATCTGCCTTATCGAGGCATGCAAAATGGTCTCTATTTATAGCAACATTAAGTGTGAGGAATTTGTGGGGTCAGGATGCCTCCTCTGAGGGTAATGCTGAATTTACCACTGCCGCAATAAACAAGAAGGCACTTTGATAATGCATTGACAGGCTCAATGGGAAAAAATCCATCCAAGATGGAAGACAACGTAAGAGAAATGTTATTTATCAACTTTGGAAGTTCTCCATCCAAGTTCTCTCAATACTGAAAAGTATCGTTAAAAATATTCAGTTTATTGAAAAATGTATTATTTTCTTTAATATGCATGAGCTTAGCAACATGCTAAACCTTTGAAATCAATCATGATTCTCTTGCGTGGATTGCGTAGGACAGGGGAGTCCAAACCTGTTCCTGGAGGACCTAATGGGCTAATCAGACTCACAAGAAATTTCTAAGCAAGTGTGTTGAAGCTGGTTGGAGCTAAACTCTTAAGGATGTTGGCCCCTCTGAGAGCAGGATTGGACACCCCTGGCATAGTTGCTATTTGTATGACACAAAAGGTTGCTGCCTTTGTGGAGTCTCACAAATCTGTCATTTGAGGTTCGTTTCAGGTGGGAAGCTGACTAAGAAGGCGGTGGACAGCAAGAAAGCTCGCTAGGTTTTGGAATTGAGCTTGTTGGTCTTTACCAAAGGTCTCCAACCGTGCTCCTGGAGAGTTACCGTCTTGCAGATTTCAGCTCCAACCCCAATCAAACACACCTGAACTAGCTAATCAAGGTGTTCAGGGTTTCTTGATAATTACAGGCAGGAGTGTTGGAGCAGGACTGGAACTGAAGTCTGCAAGACGGTAGCTCTCCACAAGCAGGGTTGGAGATCCCTGGTCTTTACAATACTCACCCTTTTGAGTTTTTTGATGCTACTGCCTCTGATGGCGGCCATGAGTTCATCATGAGCACAGCGTTGAGGTGTGGACGGTCTGGAGTTCTCTCTGTCATTGATGGGTCTCAAAGCGTTCTTCAGTTCCTTTAATATGCTGTCAGTCTCTGTTTGCTTTGCAGTCCCTTTTTTGCCCCTTTTGGGTTTAGATTTGGTGGAACTATGCTGCTGTTTCTTGGAAGTCCCCTCTTGCAGTTTGATGACTTCTGCGATCATTCTGGTGGGAGCCGCCTTCTCTGGGGCGAAGACCTTGGGTGGCGGAGGAGGAGGTGGTGGTGGGGGAGGTGGAGGAGCAGGGGGAGCGTTCTTCTTTGCCATGTCAATGTGTGGTAACTTTGGAGATGACCATGGTGAACTCCGAGGGGAGCCGTAAGGAGAAGAGGCGGTCGTGCTCTTCTGAAGGGCGACTGTTCTTGGGTTTGTTGGCATTGCTGCACCTCCTTGCTGTTGGCGCAGCTCCTGCATTCTCCTCTGTCTCTGGAGGTCTTGGTTGCGGGTAAGAATGGTCGTCATGCTTATACGAGGGCCTGCAAGGTCGAACTGGTAACCCAACTTTATCAGCGTTGTATTCTCCCTCAGTAACTTTACAATCTCCATTTCCACCTGACCTCCACAAATGTGCCTCTGATTGTGAAATCGCATTTCCGTAAGCGTACTGTTTCGTGTGAGGGCTTGCACCAGTGCCAGAATACCCTTCCCTGTAATAAAGTTGGACTCAATGTTAAGATTTGTGATGTTGCTGTTTTCTCTCAGCATCTTGGCAATGGCAAAAGCCACCTGGTCATCTGCATGTGTGTTTGCAAGGCTAAAGAAACGTACGTGTGTGTTTAAGCGTAAGGCTTCGGCAAATCGGATAAGAGTGTCTTGGGAGATGTTTTCAATGTTGTTGAGGTTGACCTCGGTGGTATCTGGGTCATTGTTGAGGATCTTTTCCAGAACATCGTCCACCACAGTAGGGTTTCCTGACATGCGACTGGGCTCCTGAGCTTGGACTTTTGGTTCACTCATCAGTGGAGTGTATCGTCTTACAGGCTCTGCCTGTCTCTGATTGGACTGACCATTGGAAGACCAACACTGCTGAGGGTGAGTGGTGCAATCCAGCATCGGTGCCATTTTAGGACTGTTCTCTTCTTCGTTTTCTTCTTCCTCATCTTCTTCTTCTTCCACATCCTCCTCTTCTGTTACCGGCTCCTCTGCTTCACTTTCCTCTTCTTGGTCTTCTTCAACTTCACAATATATTTGTGTGTCTTTCTCAAGTTTTTCAGCCTCGTCTTTTTCATCCCCAGATTCTTCATTGTCACTCTCAGTCATGCATTCCTCCTCTTCCCTGCTGTCTTCATCTTTCTGGAATTGATAAAGTCACTGTTAAAACAACTTTGGTGCAGTTTGGTCCTCTTTCATTAAGAGATCTGGTTTTAACTTCTCATTGCTCTCTGAAAGACCTATGGTGTCTCTCCACCTTTGAATCATTCCTTTACCCAGATTATGAAGGTGTGTAAACCATTTGTCTTTTTTGCCAAAGTTTACCAAATGGTAACTATTCTACAATTCAAATTAAAATCTTAAAATATTGCAATTCTTGAGTTTAAATCATACACTCACAGCTTATCACTGGGGCAGCACCCTCAACAATTTGTCCCTATAGTTACTTATCCCTAAAGTGTTCATAATACCACCATAAGAGTATATATTACTAAGGGTACATATTTCTTTTCTAAGATACTAATATGCACCCTTTAGAGTTAAATAAGATACAAATGTGTCTCTTTATAGGCTACTACCCTATTGATAAGCTATTTTTTACTGACAGTGTAGGTAATGTTTGAGGTTGTTGATCACTGACCTGTCTAGGACTTGTGGATCCGATCCTCTCCTCCTCCAACAGTTTTCGAGTCTCATTTTCCCAGTATTTCATCAGAGCTTCCCTGCTGAACGTTCCAGTGGGAGTCTTAGCTGTCTGATCTCTCTGTCGCAGTCCGATAGGAAGATTGTCATCTGGGTCAATATCAGTCAACTCCTTCTCCAGCTCCTGGAGCTCCTCGGCAGTCAGCGAGGCCAACAGCTCATCTTCATCCAAATCCTCGTACTTACTCAGTTCCCGCCGGTAGCCGAATGTACTCATGGCCTCTCGTTAGTCTTCTCAGAGTCTTAAAGTCTTGGTTTTGTCTCAGTATTGGTGCATCAGATAGGCGTCTGGGATCTTTCGAGTGGTGTAAGCTAGAGTGAGTGCTCATCTTCTGCGGTGGGCAACTGGAGGGGTTTTAAGAGCAGGATTAGAGACGTGGGACAAAGCCCCAGCCCATAATGCCGTTGCTTTTTTGGGAGGCAGGAGTCAATCAGACAGAGCTGCAAAAAGCATGTGAGCTCACAACATGGCCACAGCGAGGCCTGTCAGTGAATGCTGACTGCATTATTCATGTCCAAAATAAGCAGACAGACTCTCAGGAGATGGCTTAGAGAGAAATGGTAATGTCCTTATAATAGCAAGTCGTTTTTGCCAGCAAGGTGGTAAATACTTACATTTTAAAGCATTTAAATGAGGAAAAACCTATTCTAAATGTCTGTGTATGTTTACTGGTGTCATACTGGTGCGTTAAATGAAATCACAAGCTGCTGTCTTAATCACTGCGCATAACAGCTCAATTTTGCTAAATTGTGCCAAATTGTACAATTAAAGGTACAATTTAGTGTTGCTGTCATAAATATGATACTTATCCATAAGTATCCTCAATTCATTTTGTATGTTAAGAATCGGACAACCCAGAATATTCTTAGGTGCTTTTAGTTTTTTCATATGTGCCAAAAATACCACATAGTGCTAAAGTAACACGTCACAGGCTAATAGTGGGGGGCAGATTATCCCAAGAACTGTTATCAGCCTGGCATGAAGCATTGTGAGGATTTTAAAAATCCTCTTCTCTCGTAGCCTTTTACTGGTTTTGTCTCGCTTTTGATGTCATCATCAGGATTAAAATTTGCTTTATTATTGCATTTATCAAAGCATACGTCATACCGTTAAATCCTCAGCTTGCCTAAAATCTAGTGAATCTACAGAGAGGCTAAAAGTTAATATGGTGTAGATATGAATGTATTTTGAAGTCCATTAGCTGTCAGGTCAGTCCTGTGTGCGTGTAATGATCAGATCTGGACTTATTGTGAACACTCAGATAAACTGTTGGTTGTCTCATTGGATCTAAATATCCGCGTGAGGCTAGGATCTGTGTTTATGACAGGAACACAGTGTCCGCTGCGTCTCTGGAGCCGCCGACTGGCGTTGACAGTGCAGGAATGTTGTTGCTCTGATAACAAGTGTCTCTAGCAACAACAGCTTCCACAGATCCTCATTGTTTTTGGATTAGAGCCAGGATCAATGTTGGTCAAGTTTGAAATTTGTCAAATTGTTATGGTTTTAAAAGTAATGCAGTCCTTTAGCATGCGATAAAAATATGTCAGTCAAAATGTTTCCAGAGTAAATCATGTATTTAGGTAGCATATAAATTTACACACTGCAGACTATTTAGAGTAAATTTGAGGAAACCTGTCAGGATCATGTCCAGGTCAAGTTTCACTCTAAAATCAAAAAGGTGCATATGCATTAAACTATTTTTTATTTTTTCGTTTAATTATTGTGTTTTTCTTATTGTTTTAAGGCGAAATGTGACCTGGACTTGCTGATGATGTGTTTTGTGAGCATTAACATATGAAAATTATATAATCATAATAATATTGTTTATAAACACATCTTTAACATATTGTTTATAACACATTTTTACATTATCACAAAATTGCACTGTTACAAATAGTTTCACTCATATAAATATGAAGTTTCACTTCATATAAAAAAATTGGAATAAAATACATATACAGTGGCATGCGAAAGTTTGGGAACCCCTTGCAGAATCTGTGAAAATGTGAATAATTTGAACAAAATAAGAAGAGGTCATACAAAATGCATGTTATTTTTTTATTTAGTACTGTCCCGAGTAAGATAGTTTACATAAAACATGTTTACATTTAGTCCACAAGACAAAAAAAAAATAGCTGAAATTATTAAAGTAACCCCCTTCAAAAATTTGGGAACCCTTGGTTCTTAATACTGTGTGGTTACTTGGATGACCACAAGTTTTGTTTTGTGATGGTTGTTCATGAGTCCCTTGTTTGTTCTGAACAGTTAATCTGAGCACAGTTCTTCAGAAAAATCCTCCAGGTCCTGCAGATTCTTCAGTTTTCCAGCATCTTTTGCATATTTTAACCCTTTCCAGCAGTGACTGTATGATTTTGAGATCCATCTTTTCACACTGAGGACAATTGAGGGACTCAA